CCACCCACCCACCCAGCCATCCACCCACCCAGCCATCCAGCTAGCCATCCACCCACCCAAACATGCATCCAGCCAGCCAGCCCTCTCCCCACCCCTCCATGACATTAAGCCCCAACGGCCCCAGCCCTGTCTCAGATGCTGAGGGGCAGCAGTGACCAAGCCACACCAAATCCCTCCCTCTGGAAGGCAGCAGCCCCGTGGTGCACGCGCGTCGTCTTCACAGTCTCATCGAACCCTCACCCCGTCACCCCACTATCACGACTATGACCACTGCATTTTCTAGGGGGGAACGGAAGGTCTTTGAGGGGAACGGTATTGCCCCAAACCACAGGGCTAACAACAGGTGGAGCAGGGCTCTGTACTCGGGCCTGCCGGACCCCACTTCTGAAGGGTGGTCCCCGCTTCCGGGAAGGTTTGGGGGCGGGGAAGCACAGGGACCGGGCGCTGCCACTCACCAGGCTTCTTTGCTGGGCTGCAGCGTGGGTGGCTTCTTCAGGCTGCTCAACTTGCTGTCATACTGGCGGGGGAGAAAGAGGCGAGTGAGAGGGTCACAACAGAGCCTTCCCTCCGAGCGCTGACCCCTTCTCCCCCAGCCTGGGATAAAGACGGGAGGCGGCTGATGCCCCCCGGGGTGGGGTCCCAGCGCCAGCCCTGCCCATCACACTCAACCTGTGGGGAAGGCCTGGGCAGGGCCCAGGCGGGGGACATGGCGAGGAGCGGGTGACAGGCAGGCGTGAGCGCTGGGTCCCCTCCTTCTCCAGGGTGGGTCTCCCCTAACTTCTGGTCTGGACACCAGGCACACTGCTGGTGTCTCCCTCCCTGCTCATCAGACGGCCTCTGTCTCCGCCATCACGTCTCTCTCCTCCCAGCCCTGACTTCTCTCATTTTGCCTCCCTTCTCTTCATCTTGACACCCCTCTCATGCCCAGGCTTCCCTCTTAGCCTCTGGCGCATCTTGTCTCCTTGTCTCCCCGAACCTCTGGGGTCCTGGTCCCCCCACCCGCCTCTCACCTCTGTCCTGCATTCCCGGACAGGCAGGTCTGCCTCAGTCTCCCCCGACACACAGTGCCCCTCCCTGTACGACCGTCCCATCTCCGCCGTCCCTGTGGACTCGCGGTGTCCCACGCCACTCCTGCCCCTCTGTCTGGGTCTCCCCCATCTCCTTTCTCCTGCGTCTCTTGTCCAGCCGTCTCCTGAGCTGACATCTGAAAGTGTCACCCTGTCCCTCCTCCTCCGGTCTCAAGCCCTCACCTGCTCCCGCCCCCAGTGACCATCTCGGGGTCTCAGGCCATCTCTCCTCTCGTCGCCCTGTCGTCTTGGTGTCTGTGGGTCTCTGTCCCAGTCTCTCAGTCTGTCTCGTGCCCCCCGCCTGGACTGTCTTGCTGTTCCACCCACTGCCTGGATTTGTCTCGTCCGCCCCCTCTGACGGCCTGTCTGTCAGCCTCACCTGCCCCTCCTGCCCCTGGGGGCTCCTGTGCCCGCCGGCCCCTTTCCCGGTTCCCTGGCAGTGTCACGCTGGCCCCAGCCCTCCGCTCTGGGGGCCCCTTACCTGCAGCCCGGAGGACTTCCCTGGCCCGGATGAAGCGGCCTTGGCCACACTCAGGGTCGGGAGGCTGCTGGCAAAAGCTTTGCTCTCGGCAGGAAGCAGAGAAGGGAGGCCTAGGGGTGGGGTGGGGACAGACAGGGCTCAGGGGTCACTGGCACGGAGGCCCCCTCCACAATCGCGACCCCCAAGCCTGCACCCCGCCCTCCTCTGGTTCCTTGGCCTCGGCGGCCTCGCAGCCCTGGAGTGAGTGCCCCTCGGATCTGGGGAGACAGCCCCTCCTGCACCTGCCGTGCCCCGTGAGGTCTGGGCCACCCTTGGGTCAGCACCCACAGCTCTGCCCCAGCCCGTCCTCCCTGGCGCTCAGCCTCCCGCCCACCCGCCTCTGGGCCCCCATCTCTCCTCATGGGCTACCTCTCCCCTACCTGCGGTGGCCATGGGTGCCGGGGCAGGGGGATGGCTGGGGGCGGTGGGGGTCCCCGATGGGGCTTGCCCGCTGACCAGCACAGAGGCAGTGGGGCTGGCGAGGGGCCCCAGGCTGGCGGTCTGCGGGGCGGCGGGGGGACCCCCGGCCTTGTTCTGGAGGATGATTCCGGACGGCACCTGAGGAGGGGACAGGTGATTGAGGGGCTGGGGGCATGCGCTAGGAGTGGGCCGGCCAGGCACCAGGGCTCGGGGGAGAAGGCGCTGGGGCCGGTCCCCGCCTCTGATTACCTGGTGAAATCTCTCGAGAAGAGCCTTCGGCTGGGGCAGCGCCGGGAAGGGGGTGGTCACCATCTGGAAGGTCCGAGGAGGCGGTGGGGGGGGCGCTGCGGGCTCGGGGACCAGGTGGAGGGTCGGAGGGGGTGTGGGGGACTTGTGGGGCCCCTGGCTGGGTGGGAACTGGAGCTGGAAGTCGGGGGGTGTGGGGGCTGGCAGCCTGGTGGATGTCTCAGAGGCCACAATGGAGGAGGTGGAGGTTGGAGGGAGGTGGGGGGCCGGAGGCAGCGGCCCCTCTGGGGGCTGGGATGGGGGACGCAGAGGGGGCTGGGGTGGGCCTGGGGCAGTGGGGGCCGGGGTGCTGGCAGGTGGGGGGACGCCCAGCTGGTTCTGGATGACAAAGATGC